AGTCCCACCCACCCATAACCCCACAGTACAGTCCCACCCATCTCCACCCACAGCAGCAGCTGCATCTTCCCATTTCTCTGTTTGTTTGTTTTTTCGGAGCCTTCGAACATTTTGCACAGAATCTGAAAAACATATCTGGTAAAAGAATTATCGACCGTCTGAACTCGGAGCAGTTTTTGGGCTTTTTTACTCGTTTCTCACAGCGATGTAGTCCCACGTCTCTATGGAAACAGAGCGACCAGGACGAGGAGGAGAGACTCCAGAGTGTCGTCTGTTAGAACGACAAAAATCATTTTTAAAAAGTAGAATTTCTTTGATTAATATTTCACAAAAATTGCAAAAACTCGGAATCAACATTTTTCCAGGTGCCTCCAGGTGTGACTCTACGCACTATAGATGTTTTCTTTTTTATTTTTACTTTATTGAATTAGTTTCCCACTTGTCTCCTCTCCGCTCTGTGTTAGCAGCCCGCAGTTCAACTGAGAAGTCGCTGATTTTTTGTCAGGCGACTGTTAATCACAGCGGAGTCAGTCGTGGCTTCACGGTTTTGCTGAATTATGCAGAATTTTTATTTTTTTGTAGAAACTTTTTTGAGCAAACTGTTTAGTTGTGATGAAGTCGTGACTTCTGTTTTCACAGAATCAGACGTTTCCAAACAGTTTATTTGGTGCATTAAAAAAAAAAAAGAGAGACACAGCCTGCAGAACAACCGAAAAGTCGCCAAAAATCGACTGTTAATCGCAGCAGAGTCGGTCGTGGCTTCATGAAAGCGACAAGAAGTGCAGAGTTTTTTTGTTTTTTACAGAATCAGACGTCTCCAAACAGTTTATTTGTGGCGTCTCCTCTCCTGCACTTCAACCCAGTTCAGCCAAAAAGTCACAGAATCTTTAGTTTTTTACAGAATCTGGTTAAAATTTTAAATGCGACAGAGAACGAGACGAGTTTGATGATAAATCACAACTCTCGGCTCTGATTTGAGTAAATTTTCTGACAAAACATCACAGATGAGCAGTTCGAGGACTCATCTGGTGATCGTGTCTGTTTCTGCTAAAATAAAAGATGACTCGTCTTATAAACCTGTTGGCAGGTTTCGGGGGTTCAGAGGGTTCGTTATCGTGGACGTGAAGCAGGTCGGTGCTGGTGCAACCGGACAACGAAAACTAACAAGTTCTACTGAAGTCTGGAGTTAAAATCGAGTCCCTTCAGTCAGATTCACCCTAAAGTCTGTCGTCACATCGGTGTCGTAGCCGAGGAAGGTTCACCTGAGTGCTGCTCATTTACCTGCTCGACTTGAGTCCTGACCTGCAGCAGCAGGTTCAGGTTCATGAAGCCTGGACGCTGCTGCAGACACGCTGTCAGAGGCGTTCAGGGTGTTTCTCGTCCTTAACTTTGCGTTTTCTTTGCCGTTTGTGGCTCATGGGAGGTTTTTAGGAGGGAATCCGTGACCGCTGCAGCAGGAAGGATAAACTCTAGAATTAACTCCTGCGCTGTTTGGATTTTTTTTACCAAAGGTGACGCACAGAGTTGTTCACAACTTGCTCATTTTTTTTATTAGAGACAGAAATGTGAACCTGGTCACGTCTAAACCAGCAGAGCTCAGCCGGACCTGCACAGAGCTTCAACTATCAGACCTTTAGTGGAGCACTTGTAGGTTTTCATCTGTTTCCAAGTAGAGCACCATAACTACAGGCCTCTGCTTCGGATTGTTTTCCACCTCGTTAGTAAAGCAACCAAACACGAGTTCAGGAAGTCCAGCCGCCTGCAGCCACTCATCCCATCGTCCAGCACCACCCTGTGTGTCGCTCCCCATCGTCTCCGTGGCCCGTCTGGCTTGGTCTCCTTCCTTTGCCGGGTCCTTGGTTTGGTTTTCTTTGTTTTCTTTTCACCCCTCTTTCTGTGTTTTTTGTTCTCTCCTGAGAGAGGCTGAACAAGGCGGCGCGACCTCCAGAGCAACAGGTCTCTAATCAGGAGTTCTTATTGGATCGGGTCGGTTCTGGTGCTCTGGTCCGGTTCCTGTGATTCTGCCGCTGCCTTGTTCGCGCCTCTGCCGGCAGTCGGCGAGTGTTTTTGTGTTTGGTTTGGGCTTGCACAGCGGCGGGTTCTTGCTAATGTGTTGCTTGCTTTCTGTTACGTTCTCGCTCTTCCTCCTCCTCCTCCTCCTCTTCCTCCTCTTCCTCTTCCTTCCATCCCTTCCTGCTCGCAGGTCTGGCCAGAAGGGTCTCCATCTATCTTGACAGGAGTAAGCAAGGAGGTGAGTGTCTCCTCTTTATTCTCCCAACAAGCCCAAAGGTGCTGCTGCACTCGACAGCCTCTGGTTGGTTTTTTTTTATTTTTAGGTTTTATTTTATTTTTTGTTGTCGTTCCCCTTCAACCCGTCACTCATTCATCTGTCTGGTGACGCTCCATCATCACTTCACTCCTGACAGTCGCCACAAAGTTCAGGAAGAAAAAGTTCTCACTTCCTTTCAGTTCTCGGTCAGGAGATCCAGAACTCAGAAACAAGCCAGCACAATAAAGCTATGATGCTGTAAATCACAGGGAAATGTCAGTTAAAAGGTGCAGGTTGTTTATTTTTCCCAACACGTGTTACAGAAATAAAACCTACATACTATAACCTACATACGATAAATGTTTGATTATTTACAGTCTGTCTGCTCCGTGTAAACGCAGCTCGGCCCAAAAACTCTCAGAATTTTTGTCACTTGACTGTTGGTCCCGGCCCAGTTATTAAAAGCTTCACAGATGTGATGAGGAACACAGAATTTTTTGTTTTTTACACAATCTCGATAGCACCCATCGTTTATTTTTGGTGAATTTTTAAACGAGAATTTTTGCTTCACAGACGACCCGAGGAGCCCAGTAGTCTTTTGCTTTTTACAGATTCTCATCAGTGTGAGCAATTTATTATTATTTTTTAATTTAAATACGACATTATTTTTATGAATTATCACGACTTTAAGCTTAGATTTGGGGGGTTTTCTCGCAGTTTTTTACAGTTTCTAGCTGATAAATGGCGTCATTTTGGTGGTTTCCCAAAACAAAACGTGCTTTAAAAGCTGTCGGTGGGATTCTGAGGTTCAGACGGTGAGAAAGATTTCAGTCATCAGGTTGACATTACAACGTCTCGCCCATTCTGCCATATTCACAAGGTCTCTGTCAACCAGGCAGGTCGAAGCTTCCCCGAATGCAGAAGATTAGGGCGTCGGAAAGTTAAAAATCTGATGATTCTTCGTGTTTTTACAGTTTTGGACTCCGATAAATGGTGTTTTTATGGTTTAGATTTCAGTTAAATGGTGTTTTTATGGTTTAGATTTCAGTTAAATGGTGTTTTTTCCAACCTGCCGGCGGGTTCAGAGGGTTAAACGTTTATATTCCAGCATTTTCATTAACTTCTTCTCATTTCTATCACAGTTAAATGAACTTTCGACTGTGATGTTGTCGTCTAAAATGTCTGCATCTCGTTTTTTGGCGAGTTGTCGCTGACGGAGCAGATGTGCATGTCGGCGTTTGACCCAAATCCAGCGATGAGCTTTTTAAACACTTTGGTCTTCAAACGGTCGCCGCCCCGTCGCTCGTCTTCACCTCACTCGGCCTCTTTCATGTCTAAAAAACACACTAATTGAAGCCGCTCCCGAAGGTGCCGGCGTTTAATTGGCGGCGTGATTTTAATAGCGCGAAGCCACCGGTCTGTCTGCTGCAGGGATTAACGTCCAGAGGAGTTCTTCTGCTGCCGAAACCGAAATCAAACGAGAGGAAAGGTCAGAGGGAGGGTCGGAGGAGTTTGATAAATAGTCAGCCGGCGTTTATTTATTCCAGAGGAGAGGACACGAGGAGAGAAAAGTTCTAAACGACTTTATTTTAGGATCAATAATCAGCTGTAAAAAGCAGGAAAAATAAAATGTGTGAATATGAACTGGAATACTTTAAAAATAATGATGAGCGTGTGTGAAGTAAAGAGATTTTTATCTGCTTTAAATCCACTAAAAGCTTCATTTGATGGTCACACACTGTAAAAGACCAAATTAATTAGTTTATTTATGTAATTTTATGCCTTTTTTCTGATTTATTGGTTATTATTTTATTTAAAAACAGGGAAATATAAAATAACATATTATTATTATTTGATTTGCATTTTTTTTCTACAATAAAAACAGTAAATTAATATTTAGCTACTAGTTATTAGCTGTATATTAACAAAACAGGGAATATCAAATACTATAATCATAAATAATATTCTACAATATTATTTAATTTTCTTTACCCTTAATGTAAATAATTCAAATAACTAAAAATAAATTTAAAAATT